CACACACACACACACACACACACACACACAAAATACTGCATATTCATTATATAAACATTGTGGTTGGCTGAGCCATGTGCCGGCTTTGTTTTTAATGTATTTGGATCAACGTCTTAAAAAATAAAAACAAGAAAATCATATTATCCCGGTTAATTTATTTGTGGAGTCAATTGCTGCGCCGTGTTTTCGGGGGCCTGTAAAAGCTTTTGTGATTGCACACATAAGCTGCTCTTTTACACTGTAATTGATTTCATGCTCCCTTTTCAGCTCATGCCTCATATTGATTTTGTCAGGAAGTCTAAAGGACTTAATAACATTTTGGAAAAACATCCAGTGAATGTATGTGTCCAATAATTACCTCTGATGCCCCCGTCCTATATATGTAAACAAACAGGGACTTTTATTGTTTTGGGTATGTACCAGAGGTTGATCCATTGCAGTCCTTTCACAGCAGACAGACAAATGGATTGCCTGTTTATAAAATATGGTGTTCGCCAATGCAGAACAATCAAGATGGAGACAGAGCTGATTTTCCTCAGAGAAACATCTGTATACAAAATGAGCAACTGCATTTGAACTGAAGTGAGAATCTTTTGTTTATTTTAGAAAGACTGCATGGATTTTAATCCCTAAACATCCCTCAGAACACATTATTCACAGCTCTTTCTTCCATCACGCAGGTTTATTTCAACATACCGAGGAAGCAGAGGTGCTGAAGCGTAGTGTTTGCACATCAAATTATCCCTGTCGTAATTTCCTCTTTTACGGTAACAGCCACTTTGGATGGAAGATGCATCCTCTTATTAACACCTCTGAATTAGAGGGCTACTGATGTGTTTACAGCCTCCGATGCTGTTCCTGTGTGTCTTCAGCGGCACGCCAGCAGGAAAAGTGAAGGAAGCTCTGTTCTCCCCTGACAATATCTATTTCCTCTGTGTGGATTCCATCTGAACTCAACCCCTGACCTCTCCCCTTGTCCCCGAGCCGGGCCCACGCCGACCTCTGGCCTCTGCCTCGCCTCTGAGGCCCCGGCTACCGACCCCAAACACCGACTTCACAGGAGAAAAAGAACACAAGACGGAAAGTTGCCTCTCATTGCTAGTCACGCCTGGGGGGTGTATTGTATTGTGAAAAAAAGCCGACACCAGCCGGCAATCCCAATTTGAAAGTGTCAGCGGTTGTATTTTGAGTTATTACCTACAGTATATCGTTAAACGCTTCAATATGAGCTCATGTAACAGTGGATTGACCACAGTGAATAGATGATAGCATTCCAAACTTCATTAATTAGGAGCGGGTCACTTGGGTCAACATGTGTTTATTCTCAGGAAGGAGCATTAAGGGGATTAACACTAATCAGAGGGGATTATAAAACAGCTATTTCCCAGCTGGATGGTACTTTCCTCAAAAGATCTCGCCACTTTGTACGCCTGTGGAGGAGGATGTTTGCTTTGGAAAGAGGGATCTGGATAACTATTCCTCTGGTGACAAACACAAACACGCTGGACCTCTTGCTTACCTTTGACCCAACCTCCAGAGAGGGGCAAGTCCTTTGAACAGTGTGTGTTTCAGCTCACGTTGGTTTATTGTGAAGCTCTTCATGTTTAGATAGTTGACACCGTTTCAAAGAGGTGTTGATTCAACTGTGTGCTATTCTTTAGCCTTGTTGTTGTATTATATTACATTTAACTGTATTCAGTGGTGAAAATGACTGCATTAATCCTTGTCACTTAAGTAAACGTTTAAGGTACCAAGGTATTTTGTACCACTTTATACTTCTATTCCACTATATTTCAGCAATAATTATTGTCCTTTTAACTCTTAACTGAAGACATGAAATGACCAGATACGTTGATAAATTAATATTTTACATGGAACACATATCATTGGTTTGTAAAATACAGTATAAAGCATTGGTATAGGTCAAAAACAAAGCATTTTAAACATTTAGAATTAGCTAAAGCTCAACCAGCTGTTCATAGCTTAATGAAATACAAATATTCAAGATGAATATAAACACATCTTGCTATTCTTTCTTTTTTCATACTTTGTAGACGTTGCTGATAATGATTCTGTTATTTTTACTCAACTTTTAAGTCAATTATGTATACTTATCTTTTACTTTAAAGGATATTTCAACATTGCAATACTGATACTTTAAATAATTGCAGTCCATTTTGCTGTCTACAACACATCTCTCTACAGTAGTCCAATATATTTCCAATAAAACTGCCTCAAGAGAGCTGAACCAACAGCTTTTTGACACAGTGTCAACAAACAGGACCATAATTGGATTGATGTTATTGGAGAGCTTTAGTATCGGGCTGCATTTTGGTTTGCAGAGGTTCACTTTATAAGCTGATAACTGTGTTTATACGAAATTATTTTTGTTTTGGTGTCATTATAGCAGCTCAGCCTCTTGCAGAATTGGAAATGATATTCCCTGCGGAGACACAGAAGCAAAGGAAGTTGTAGATAAAATGAAAGGCAAAGAAAACAAACACATTATCTGTCTGGCCTCGGATGTGATGATGTTTTTACATCAGTGTCGTGGTAGAACTGCTTTTTAATCACAGCTCACACATGCTTATCAAGCTTCTCACTTTGTCAGCGTTTAGGGAACAGGAGGCGAATGCTAAGCTTGTCAACAGCACTGTAGCTCTTGTGCTTGTGTAACGTGTGGCATGTTCTCAGGTCTGCCCATGTGTTCTGGACTTCATTAGACTTAGACTGAACATCTTTTGCTGCCTGTCAGCGAGATCCTTTCATGTGTCCCCTGCCTGGTCCCACTCACCAGAGCCTAACCAGAAACATGCCACTGCCCAGGGCAAGGTCAGATTTCTCACCATGCATTGAAGCAACATTGCCTTTCCTAATGGAGGGGAAAATACCCTGGTTATTTTTCATCAATCTTACGGACAATATATTCCATCTCATCATATTTAAAGGAGAACCAGTACAAATGGATGTCGTCCATGTGGAAGTAATCTGGAGGGAATGCATGGCTCTGTTCGATGATCTCACTGACCTGAAACTCACATGAGAGTAACGTTTGCCTTCAAATCGTTCAGGTTACGATCAGTGTCATCTCAAAGGCAGGGTAAGGTCCATCAATTTTTTGCCTCATACTTCAAAGTCATACTCGCATCATCAAAACTTTAAATCCACCCATCCTTTAAAGAGTAATGGTACAGTTGCTCAGTCAACTACCGTAGTATGACCCATACAAGTAGCTCATATTTGACAAACAGTAATGCATGGCTCATTGCAATGTTAATCTGCAGAACGGGTGCAAGGGGGTCACAGGAAATGTGTGGGAGAAACAGCCTATCTTTGTTGCCCTCTGCTGAATGGTCTCACTGTTTTATTCTCAATGCGAATAAAACCAGGGTTAATGTCAACCAGCAGACGGGTAAATATTTAATTGACCTGGATTATTCGAAGAGCCAAATGAATAATATTGTTTCAGAAATATGTGTTCAAATGTGAAAGCGATATCCCCCGCCTGACTCTCACAATAGGGATGTAATGTCATGCAAAGTGAATAAGCCCTTACTGGCCTTGTACCATCAGAGACAAAGCGTTTGTACTGACGACTGGCCCATTATTTAGTTGTTGCAGTTTTTTCCTTTCTTTTATGTCCTCGGAGACTTGGACGTCTTGCAACATGCCTCAAAAGAGGCTAGAGGCCCTTTTGTTTTGAGGTTTTCACACTTGAGGGCCATGGTATTTGGTGTGTGTAGAGAGGGGCTGTGACAGGCTGAAAGAGAGAGGGGCTGGGCTGGCTCACACAGAAAGGAGCCTGGGCTCAACACTGGCCCTGCTCCCAGAGAGAGAGAGAGGGATTAGCGTGCACAGACCAAGAGGAACTAATCTCCTGCGACATAATAGAACTGTACATAAACAACATCCCTGAGAAGTGAGCGACGAAGCATTGACTGACTGAAGAGGCTGTGTGTGTGAAAACAAGAGGCCAGAATAATTTGTTGCTCAATGTGGAAAATGGTGAGGAGAAGAGACTTCTAATCGAAACAGCTGGACAGAAAACACTCTTCACAAACATTCAGTTATTAAAGTAAATTAGAATTTACCCCGATTAACCTCCAACAGCAGAAGAGGTAATTGTACAGTTACCTTTGTGGAAATTCTTTCAATTTAATCGAATCTTGGAACTTGTTTTATTCTATTTCCAAATTTTTTCTCCATAAAATTAATTAAATTCAATACTAGATGTTGCCATAATAATATAAACTGAAAAGTATGTCCTGAAGTCCATGATAGGTTTAGCAGATGCAGTGGTTTGTCATCTCAACAGATGAGGATACAGATATCCATTAGCAAGATTTTGTTCCATTGGAGGATGATTGCACTGCTAAGTCAAAATGAATTGATGTAATGAAAATGACCACATGTCATTCAAGTACCCTATATAAGAATGTCATGTGAACTTGCCTGAATACACATGATAAAACATTTAAAATGGTATACACTTTTAACACTTTTCTGCATGCACTCCCTTCAAGATGAATGTGTGTGTCCTAAAAGTGGCTTTCATCCGACATACAGAAGTAACTCAGCTTGTTGTGTTAAACACAGAAAACATACTCCGCACTTATAGGATGAACTATCACATGTCACGCCTAGCTTTATTTTCTTGTAAACATTTCCACTTTTCATTTTATGGGGCGAAAGGCTGCTGAGCATGGGAGGGTTTAATGCTTTTCAAACACACAAGTGCTCTGAGAAGCTGTTGAGAGGTGCCCGACCTCAGCGATGGTAAATCCGCTGTGGCTGTTGAGCTAGATGACCTGTTTATTTGGACTTGCAGAGCGCCTGTCTCAGGCTTCTGGACCGATCAGTGAATATGTTGTACACAGAGTCAGCCATGATGGTTTCTACAGCCAAGATAAGCAACAGTAACTGCCAAACGGCTGAGCACTGGGAGGAGAAGCCTGTCTATTTACTGCTCGCAGGAACCTCAATTAAACAAACAGCCAAAGTAACTGGTTAAGGATTATTTTATTACTTAGGATTTTGTACAGTTTCTACCATGGAAAAATAACATGTAACATAAGACTGTATTTACAATTCCATTTTTACAAAATGTCTTTACAAGATTTTTTTGCCGGTTCAAAAACTTGAGACTAGAACACACAAAACATTCACATTCACACACATCCAAACCAAACTTTGTAATACACACATAAATAAATATAGACATTCACTGACTGTTCCACGACAAATATTTCTACAGCCAAGAACATGTACAATTCATCATTTCCACACAAGTTATAATTTCATTAATAAACATTACGTATTACTCCCAATATAATTCTTTGTTAATCTGTTAATGAAATATTGCTAAGATAGTGAAAAGAGGTAACACAGACATTATTTCATGCCAACAGAATGCTAACGGTTGTCATGCAAAACCATCACAAGCTTTCAATTTAAAGCAAGTAATTCATTTACAGTTCAAAAATCAAATGTACTACATGCAACATACTATGTGAAATATTCTGGGTTAGACAACAATGACTTTAGTTACATTATCCATCAGTACTGACTGTTTGCCTAAGCGCCTCTTTAATGGGTAACACAAAATAAATAGATGAATTTTTACTTTTCTTTCTTCATGAATAAACAATTGTTTTACAGTTTCGGGCATTTCCTACCATTCATCTTCAACCATCTTCAATCAAGTATGTGTTTCTTCAAACCATGACATCATTTCTTGTTATTTATCAACCTTTTGTATTGAAATGTTGTTTATATAATTTACAGCTGTGTACGATTACAGCTGGATCACTATTGGGTCTTAACTATTACCTACTGAAGAACACAGAATATGAGACCTTGCTGTATGAATTTCACTGTACAGACCAACCCGTCCGCTGACATGCATCAGTCGAGGGAGAGGGCTTCAGAAGGAATAGCTGATGTGTTGTAGAGCCTGGAAAAGATGGACCCATATTTCACAAGCAGGGGGGGTCAGTTCATGGTCTGGTGCGCTGTGTTTCTGTTTGGTTCCACACATTCCTTCCCCGACGCACAGGAGCAGAGAGCCACCTGAGCTTCTCTCTATTGGGTTTTCCTCGGCCTGCAGCTCAGTGCCTCTCTACTGATGGCTTCTGGTGGTGAGGGTGCCGGAGTCTGGGTCCTAATGGAACACATGCAGGAGAGTCAGATCTTGGTAATATTTGACTTTAAAGGTCCCCTATTATACTCTTTTTCATCAATATATTACAGGTCTCAGTTATATACAAAACATGTCTGTGAAGTGTTTGGCTCGAAATACCAAACAGATCATGCATTGTAGCATCCCATAAACCCCTCTGTTTCAGCCCTGTTTCAAAAGTGCTGATTCTGTGTCTGTTACTTTAGATGAAAATAAGGAGCCACTCCCCACGCCCCTCTGAGAGATATTTGTTTAAAAAGAACACAATGGTGCTCTAGGAGGAGATTCAGGTGATAAGGTGGGCGAGTGTTACCTTGGTTGGTGATTGGCTAATGGTTACACAAGCCAAAAAATCGTTATGACATCACAAAGTGGCCAAAATCTGATCAGCTCATTTTCAGACAGGTTTTTATATAAATGGATCAGGACAAAAAGTTTCAGAATCTCTTTACACTGAGGGGACACATATTTATGTATAAAAGACATGAAAAAGTGGATTTTGCATAATAGGTGACCTTTAATTTCATGCAGTGAACATATGGTAGTTTTGCTCCTTGCTCTTGCTGAGACATTTTTTCAACCTGGTATCTAGGTCATAAATACTTTTAATGTACTCTCCATCTGCTGGGCTAAAAACCCAGCTTTTATCTTTTCTGTAAAAACAATGCCTACATGATTACACAAAGTGATGCAATGAAAGCACAGCATCTATTCTTATAACTGCAGTGTAAACATTGAAATATTATCCCTTTATAAATGTGATGTGTTCAACAGTCGCATTTCTGGAAACCTGATGAATGTACGATCAATATCTAATCTCCTTTTTAGCTCTGTTTTGCTTTCCACCAAGCCATGAGGGACCTTTTTAGCCACTAAATGCTCCACTGTGTTCCCTAGTTAGGCATGATGTGGTTGTATTGAAAAATGATGCAGGCAATAAAACCAAAAGAGGTTAGCTGAAATATGCCAAAATGCTTTGTAGAGCAGACTGCTGTAATTCTGTGTGGGTTCATCACTATGAACGACCCCTCTTACACTCAAGTAGGCGTGTGATCCTTGTGGTTGTTCAATAATATATTGATCATACTTTAAAGAATAGTTTGACACTATGGGAACTACACTTTTTTGCTTTCTGGTGAATGATTATATGTGCCGAGTTCATTTCTTGGCTCTTGCCTGACAGCCCGTTAATGGACTAGCTTTGAAGGTACAGATGGATTGATTTTGTAAACGTTGGACAGAGCCGAATTCAAACTGAAACTGAAAAAATATTACTTTAAGAAGAGATTAAAGATCTACAGTCTACTCTTAGCACCACTGAATGAAACAAAAACAAAATTACATTTGTGGATAGGATGTAGCACAAAAGACAGTTGCAGTTATTTAGTACTTACGGTGTTGAATGACTGGTAATGTGTTGGGGGTCTGGAAAGTCTTGACAGTGGCAGGACCTTCCCCCCCAGTTGTTATGACCTGCACCTCCAGTCTGTAGTAGGTGGATGCTCGCAGGTTGGACACCACAAGCAAGTTATGATCCTGTCAGGTGAGGGAGGAGAGCAGCAGAAAACAGAAGATGCAATCAGTTAAATACGACAGAACATGCCTTTGAATGAGACAGGACTTGAATTGGCCGTATATCAGGGGAGTATCAGCTGCGGAGCTATCAAGCACAAGCCACAGACGAAAACAAAGACTTTGTTTTCATAAGGCTTGCTGTCTCCCCTTTCTTTTGCAGCCAGCTTGATAAAGGGTGCGGTGGGTGGTTTTATTTATAGACAAGCTCCAGAGGCTGGGAGGTGCAGATAGGCGGAACGTGTTGATTGAGCAGATTATGTCAAAGCGCTGCTTTTTCGAAGCTCTCACGGAGGATAAAAGAGGAAGACGTGAAGGCAGATGAAAATATAGAGGAGGAGAACTTCCAGCAGGACACAACACTTCCTCAGATCTCTCCATGTGCCCGTCTACACACCATCGCTTATCACAAGATTCATGCAAAGAGGCCACATCAGTGTTATCCTCAAATCACCCTCACCTCTGACATGCTGTGAAACAAAGTGCTGCAAATAGAACATATCTTTCTACTACAGGGGACATTTACAGATTATATATGACAGCATTATCCAGTGGGATATGGACACATATTCAATCTGAAAACAGCCCATACTCTATGGCTGTATCGCGACTCAACATTAGATAAACAGCAATCCAGTTTTAATAAAAATAGACTTACAGGAGGCAGGATCTGGGACTGGGAGATGATGCTGTTGGGCAGGCTGTTTTGCCGGCTTTCAGTGGTGATCTCGGCCCAGGTGACCTGGAAGCCTGTGATTCGCTGATTGGGAGCCACCCTGGACACACGCCACAAGAAGTTGCCGGTAATATTTCCCTCGATGATGGAAAAAGAGGCCGTCAGGTTCTCTGGCTTAGCCAAAACCTTTGGAAGCCCTGGAGCTGTTACGAGAAAGGTGGTTTAAGTCACAGTGTTGATAGTGAAGGAGTAGCTGGGTTATAAAACACATTTGCTTTCTTGCCGAGAGTAAGATGAAAAGATGGATTCCACTCTCATATCTGCAGCTAGTGAGCCTTTGTTACCTTTGGAGCCAGGTTAGCTGTTTCCAGTCATGTGCTAAGCTAAGCTAACTTGCTTCTGGCGGTATCTTACATATTTACTGTACAGACAGTGACATCTACCTTTCCATCTAACTTTGGCAAGAAAGCGAATAGGTATATTTCCCTTAAACAGTGTATACATGTATTCCATTAATATGATAATAATATGCTCACGTGTCTGATTACTGTGTGTCCACACTTAAACACATCCATTTCAATATACCCCTTACAAATCAAAAGGCTGAAGACTCACCTCCCTCCCCAGGGCAGGGGATGTGTTTGTGAGTCTTGCTGCGGATGGTAGCACAGGACGGTGTGAGGAAGGTGGTGCTCTCGTCCTTGGAGCGTCTCTTGGACTTCAACATGTGAACGGTGACTTTGTACTTGCAGGAGAACAGCAGGCCCGGGAGGTTGATGTAGTTCTCCTGAGCCAAGAAACACATTATTCAGCCATGATGACTTTGACATGTCACCCAGGTCAGGTCCCATGGAGCTTCAGAGATAATTAAATACACAGCGGCGGGGCAGATCACATTCCCGCTCATGCCTCAGGAACATCACCCCCACATTACAGGAACACTTTGAACACTCACATGGTAGAGGTTAAACCACTATCCTTTTATTCAACTTACAATACAAATATGTTTATATAGCTTCCACATGTGGCACAAACACGACTTAATTAAGAAACAGTAACCAACGTGGACTTATGGGTAACTTCTAATAAAAAGGAACCGCCCGTGAATCTGTCTTAATTAATTCTGTGCTACACTCATTTAAAACTTGGATCATTTATTGATCCTAACCAAAAAAAAGAAAGCGCAGTTCTCATCTCATTTGCGGAAACAAAAAAAATCCTGCTGACTAGTGGATTTGGATCTTGCATTTGTAATAAAGAGGCTCTACATTAATAGGCAGTCGCTCCCCAGAGAGAGGGTGTGTGTATATTCTCTCTGATATGAAACAGCTTTGATTAAAAGTGAATGAGGCGCTGCGCTCACATAAAAGCAAAAGCCTGGAATCCTTCCCAGTGATCTATAGAAAATGGATGTATATTTCCTAGCAACGTGAGCGCTGGTCCCCAAAGAATGTGTTGATTGCCAGGCCTCTGCCATCCTGTATCAGCCTGAGCCCAAGCAGTTAACCAACCCCCCCACACACACTCCCAGACTCGACATACCCCTACCCAGCAGACCCTGCACTCCACAAGAAAGCCCTACGCATGCAGAATGCAGGAATAATGGAGGTGAATAATCTCCCATTCCGGGAAACATTGTTTAAGTAAATGTGTTTTATTGGCCAACATGCCTGACCACACGACTGACTCATAATATTCAAAACAAAAGCCAGAGATTTGCCCAGTGCAAGTCCATCACAACAGGGCTTCAGGCTCGAGTTGTTTTCTTTAGCGGAGCGGCTCTTTCTAAGCATCAGACAAAAGGTTAGGCGCGTGCTTTGCATAGCGTGGAGCTGCTGATCCAAACATCGCTCTGCACTCCAGGACCCCGCAGTTTGAAGGTGTGTGAAGCGGCTTCTGGAGACTAACCTGTGTGACAGATTTCTCTGGTCCTCGGGTCTCGTTGTGGGCGCAGTACTCCGGCATCCACTGGACATGGTAGCGACTTACAGCGGGGTCTGAAACAAAGGGAGGAGGTCACATAACAAAGACATAACATAGTATCCAGATTTTCTGAGCAATAAAGACTAATCTTTGAATCTATTAGCTCCTTTTATTAAACATAAAAGGAGCAGTGCTTTGAAAGCGTTGAATTGCTCTTGTCAGTGTTTTATTGTATAATGAATAGTGTCAAAGTCATATAAACACAAAATCTACTGACAACATTTTTTTATACGCGTTGACGTTTTATTTGATTCTTTCATAAAGGAAAATGGCAAATATGTATTGTTTTCATATTCTCAAATGTTATGATCTGCTGCTTTTTTGAGCTCGTAACAAATTGTGCATTTGATTAATCGCCATCAAAACAAGCTGCCTCTAGACGGGTATTTCTTTCTACGTTATAAAATCAATTTATCATATTCAAAATAACCCTTTAGCAAGACACTGATGTCTAATCTGCTCTCTAGTACTGAATGTATTTGCATAAAAGTTGAATTGCTTTAGACTAAAGCATCAAATCATTATGATGGTCAAATAAAAGCCAAGTGAAACATGTTGTGGGAATAAAGTATAGAGTAGTCTTAGATATCCTGAAGAGCGTAATTTACATAATTTACATAACTATGGTAATTTACAGTTGCGTTATGTAACTGCACCCACTGTACATTCATTTGGATATCAAAAGTCAATCCGACAGGCTGAGCTGATTAACTGATGAGTATCTCACATATTACAACTCTCCCTTTCTCTCTCCTATTGATGATCACGATAAACGATAAAATAACTTCCTTCTCTATCCCTGCATTAGTTTATTAACATGATTTTTCTGTTTCCTTAACCTTCCCTTTTGTTCCCTGAAAGGCTCAGTTCTCAATCCAAACTTTCCTGCTTCTCCTTAAATGTTTTGCTTTCTCATTAGTTGAGTATCAGCCTTGGTCATGCTGGGACACTGCAGTCCCGTTTTGCTTCATTACTGTACAGTAGCTCCTCATGAGCTCATTGGCAGTGTTTATCGGCCTCATCTTGTGTTACTAGATTTATTTTTCATTCAACTGTTTCGCTTGGATATGTGAAATACTTCTCCGATTAATAATTGAGTTATGCTATGTTCGCCCCTCGGCGGGGGCCTGGGTTGTAGTGGGGGAGATAAAAGGGGGCCTTTGAAGGCTTAGACACAGATCTGGCACTTGGAGCCCCTGAGCTCTTTGGAAGCAGAAGAGAGGAATTACAGGGAACCGGGAAATCGGGAAAAAAATAAACAAGATATGCTTCGCCCGCTTTGACAGAGAGGGGATGTGGTATGTAAAACAAGAAATGGGACATGGAAATCAGGTAGAGAACAGAACCTCAGCAGTGTTCGATAAATCATGTCTGGAAGGGAGCCTCAGAAGTGCCGCCACCGCTGGACTGCTGTCTATTGTCTGGGTGTTGGGCAGACAGTGATAAATTATCGGAGCCGGTGTACAGTAAGGTTCACTTTCACTGCTGGAGAAAGCCCAGAGGCCGGGCTGCTTTGGATCACAGAGACAATGAGTGAGGGCTTAACCACGGTTCAGTTAACCTGTCCCTTCTTTCTGTCACACAAACCAGATGTCCAGAGACTACAACTCTCCAGGCCATCTGTACGTCCGCGTGTTTACAGTAGTGGAACACAGGTTGTCAGAGTCAAAGCCAGGGTCATACCTCAGACTAATGAGGGGCAGTGACACACACACACTGCGCTGCAAACAACACACAGAAAAAAGAAGCTGGACTAGGATTAGCACTGCACTGCAACACTGTGATTCCCAAGCCACGCTTGATCCCCGTCAGCATCACTCAGCCCTCTGAGTCCAAGCCAAGCTCGCTAACAGCTCTGGGCCAACTCTATCTCCCTCTCTCTCTCCGATTCAGCAGTTGGTGTCTCACCAGGCCTCTGCTACGCCAGGGTTTGCATTCTTGACTCTCAGATGTGGAGTTTGGCTTAGGCGATGACATATATTAGTAACATAACATAGACCAGTGAATGGGACTTGACAGGTTACCCTGAGAGCATGGCTTTCAAGGTTTCCATATTTCCACTCTGGTATTAACAGAAGGGCTGGGGAATAGCCGCCGCTGGGACAGGCATTCCTATAGGCTTTAACCCCTTGCGGAGCTGCATCCCACGACCGTTTCTGTTCCCCATGACATCAGGTCTTGTAAAACAAAATGGAGCGCTCCAGCACTAATGCGAGGCTGAGGATCTATTAAATACAGCTGTCAATAAATCCCATTGCACCGCTCTGGCTCTGTGTGTTTATTGTTCTTTACTAAACGGTGGATCAGCTCTACCAGTCCGTGGGCAGGTTCACACCAATTTGCCCTGCATTCACATTACTGAGCTCTCACAATGACACATTGTTTCACTTATTTCATTTACACCATTTTATACCACTTTTTTTTTTTTTTAAAGGAATCTTGAGTAACTGAGAATCAGTCATAACACTTTATTATGGTTTACATGAGTCATAGTGATTGATGGGGATGATGGGGTGCTAATTAGATTCTAACAAAGCTGTAAATCAGTGCAGTGGAGTACGTACCTCCCCGGTTCTTCCAGTAGACACGAACCTGCAGCTGGCCATCCTGGTAGAAGGGCGTACCGACCTCGAGAGGACCAGAGGGGCGTTTGGCCAAGGTCGAACCAAGAGGGGATATCTCCTCCTTCTTTGACTTGATCACTGATTTGACTGGGAAGAGAAAGTAGAACTGTTGGCTGATGTAGCTAAGACAGTGACTATTGTTGTGGCAGACTCTCCAGCATGGTAACAGGAACATTCCTTTGTAATATAACAGCCGTTACAGCACCTTCTTTATGGATTAATGTGGCGTCACTCGATGGGCACACATAGTTCTGCATAACACTGCCAAGGTTAGAGGTTCAGTTCCCCCTAGGCCACACATACTCAAAATGCACACACGCATAGTGCTGAGGTTTGGTCTGCTAAACACGCAGGAGCTTCAAATGAATGCAGATGTGCTGTAAGCACACCTTGGCCATTCCTGCTTTTTGCAATTCGCATGATGATTGTTTGCCTGAAGAAAGGTTCGCAGAGCCAGATCTATCTCCACACTTTGTTTTATTGCAGAGCCAGCACTGAGGCCTGGAGACTCTCAGTCATTTAGAAAATTGGAATTGTCAAGAAAACAAACACACAAAAAGCTAAGTGGATTCTTCTTGATTGGTTAATCCAATCCTTTATCTGCAAACACAACAACTCGGGTCCTTCCAGGTTTTTATTTGTATTTCAGACACTGCATGTTTCTCTAAATTTCACCTACTCATGATTTGGTTGTTACAAAAAGTCCGATTTTGGTCCAACCCTTGTAAAAAACAAAGTTGCTTTAGCTAAAGGCACAAACTACAGGTGAGGATGGTGGCATTTGGTATAGTTTTGGCAGGGGGTAGGTAGGTCATAAATTGGACAATCCTGAGAGGGACATGGGTTTCTGTCACATATCTTTTCAATTTCAAAGATCCATCCAGAAGCTGTCCGTTTACATTTCCTTCAAAAGTCTCATAATATCATTTTAGTGGTAGAGCTAAATTAGATGAACAGCAATGTCACAAGTGTTCATTTTGTTTGGACTATGAATATCTCTCCAAAATCTCTTGGTAATCACTCCAATCGTCTGACAGTTCAACACGACAGGAAATTAGCACCAATGTGTACCTGAGTCATTATTCTGGGAGGTGCTGAAGTGGAGGGAAGCCTTGGAGCCCTTCAGGCGCACCTGTCCCCAGTACGTGACGGCCTGCAGCTCTACAGTGTAGCTGCTGTTCTGCTGCAGTCCCTCTAGATCTACCCAGCTCTGAGCCTGCGAAAACAGAAAACACTTGTATGTTAGCACACTGACACCTGAGGCTCCTTTCAAAGCCCTGTCACTGTCCCAGTCCTCGCTCAGCCTGGGCCCACCCGCGCCTGTGGGAAAGCCCTATTTATTAAGAACACATGTGGAGCAGAGGAAGGTATCGTGGCGAGGAGATAGCCTTCAGAACTTTGTGAGGGAGCCGTGTTATCAGAGCCTCCCAGGGCTTCCTCACAGTGTTTGACTCGCAGCATTCCACCATCAGCGTGAGCTTCATGAATTCTTGTTATTGACTGTGCGTGTTTTGACATTCCTCTGCCAGCAGGCTGCTTTTAAAGCCCTGAGGTGCCAAAGTGGAAACCAGTAGTACATGTGTCAATGGGTGTCTGGTATCTCCCACCTCTATCTCCTCTGTGCCACATCTGCTACGCATTTCATACACTAATTCAGAAGAAGACTCACTATAGAGGTGTGTGTGTTGACTGTCTAGACAATCTGTCTATCTGCTCGAGTCTGTAATGAAATGTCACAGATACTGAGCCACAGGTATCAGGTCACATGGTACTGGATGTGGTGTGCAAAGGACTCGCAACATGTTGATTTATCTCCAAGGTCAACGTATGTGCTTAGAGACCCTTTTTTTCAATTTGTGGCAGTATCATCAACACTTGCTTACAGAATTATGACATTTTTATCTAGAAGCAAGAACAATTTTGTAATACTTTCAAAATATTTCCGTGTGGCTTTCTGAGTTGTCCAAGCCAGGAAGTTTTATTATGTAAGCTCTTAACTTGGCTTTTATAACAAAATTGGCTTTGTCTTGTTGACATACGAGACAAAGGGCCATGAAAGCTCTTCATTCTGGATGGACCAAATAGTTGAGAATGTTCCAGTATGCAAACTAAATTGTTTCAACGCATTAACAGTAGGAAATCAATAGTATTTTCATTTAAAAATGATATTGATGTCCTCATTAGAGGATGTTTCATGTATATTTCTATCAGATCGGTCCTGTTTTACTGAGTTTCCCCCATAGTTTGAACACACTGTAGGAATGATTGTAAAACATAATAATAGGGTAGTAAGTGTGAGTAGGGAGTGGGAGAAAAGCTCACAAAAAGCTCTAAAATACCAAAATCAGAAAAAGTGAATAATACAATTGAGATATTAAAGAAACATAGACTTTTGAGATTGTGATTTATCACTATAAATACACCCATTCATCACAGTTAATGTGTTTTCTTTTAAAGCTTAACAGCCCATTTAACGGTTCTTTCATCAGTATACATAAGGAATTAAAACAATGAAGAACACATTGCATCAATCTGTGTGTGATTGATAGCTTTGCACATTTATATAAATAACTTCCATTCCATGTTTATTCTTTCTTCCACTGCAGGCCTGCATGGACAATATTTACAGAGATGTGTTGAGGCCAGAGGAGAAGATGCTGAGATAATCCTGGAAAAGACCCTGTCGTCTTAGAGAGAGGAAAAGGGAGAAAAAGAACAAATTGAGAAAGGCTGGGAAGATTACCCCGTTGGTGGTCTTTCTCCTCTTTTTCTTGGATGGCACTATCGACTTGGAGGGCACAGTCCAGCTCCAGAACACTTTGTAGTGATGTATGGGAATATCGGGCTCCTCTGGCAGGGTCCAGTTCAGACGGGCTGTCACCAGGCCGTCCTCGCCCACCGTCACGTTGCCGACGCGCAAACTGGCTGGCCTGGGAGGGGCGGACGGATCTAAAAGCAACAACAAGAAAAAACAGTCAGCGCCAACAGATTTCAGTACAGCTGTAGACATTTAGAGCAGAGGACGAAGAGGGCCTCTTATTCTTGTATGCGACAAATCTTGAGCCAAGTATAATTTCAGGTTCCAATTCCTTTCAGGCCAAGACACCTTTCACTACTTGTGGATCAGCATAGCAGTGAAGGAGGGGGATTGGTATAACACTGTGTAAGGTAAAATTAGTCCTCCACTGACAATATGCCATCAGATGTTATGACAGGTGTCATGTCACATCCATGGCGGCGTTCAGCAGGACGGAGAGCGCAGGTCAGGGGTTAACAAACACATGCTGCTCTACACTCAGCATTCCTGTACTCTAGCTGATGTGTGTGTGAGTGTAAAGCTGGTTCTGAACATCATGTGTATGCACTGTGACCCAGCTGATGTCAGGAAGAGAAGCAAGGCCACATGCCAGACGCCAGACCAGAGAAAATCTCCCCGTAATGAGAAAATGATTCACGCCACAGCCCTGTTCCTCTCCCACCTGAAACACATTTAATCCACTCCAAAAACACCATCGGACACATCGGTTCACTATACCAGCTAATGTCGGCTGCATAAGAGGAATAAGCAGTCAGTTCTTACAAATTGCCCTAACAAAGTATGGTAGTGCAAAATTGCAATCAGATGATATGGCCGTGCTATAAAAATAACAATGGCATGACAGAATGGCCAGGAGCTCATCAAACCCATGACAGCTCCCATCAATCTATCAGCGTTTTGGCACTGATTGGCCTGATTGGAGATCGGTTTCCATCCCTGCAGCAAATCTTATTCCCACCTGGTGTCTGGATCTGTCTGACAGCCACCCAGAATGCTCTGGGGAGTAAATGTATGACGAAGGATTGACAGGGCAGGTCAACTCACACGCCACCAAAACACACTAATACTTTTTGTAATTGGCACAGGTTTTCAGAATTTGGCAGAACATGGACGTACTTGGGATGTCTGCAGTGTTTCGCTGCTAAACATCTTTAAATCTATTATTGATTAAATAACACAAGTTTGATAAAGAATGTGCACGGTACGTTACACTGCGTGTTGAATACATGCAAGTGATGCAGACACTTTTTGACATGGCAGACAATGAACTCTGCATAGGGCTTATCTGGCAGGCACATGTCTCTGCCTCTGCATGTCAAACAAACAAGTGTATTTGATTTGGATTAGATTAAATCTCAACACATTATATTTTGAATCTGTAATCCCTGGGAACCACAACAATTGGCCATGGCTTTAACAAATGCCATCTGTAGCACAACACTGCGATTTAGTGTCATTCAACTCTGAAAGTGCAGGGTACAGGAGCAGAGCAGCCGCACAGGAAGCCATCAGAGCTTGTCTGTGGCAAAGATCTGAAGTGCATCTAGGTTACGTCAAACCCTCTAGGAGCAAGACAACACTTGCATTCATTTAAAACCTGCAATATCCTGACTGATACAGACATATTACAGTTTGTATGACTGTAAAGAGGGGGGAAGCCCTCCTTTGAAGTCATAAATGAAGATCTAGTTACAAGACAAGAAGAAAAGTGTTGTGTACCACAGTCTCTCCTCATTACCAGCACTCTACCTGGCATCGGCATGAATTACCTTTTCCACTTAACTCGCTGTGTAAATGTGTAAAAAGCTGTGGTGGGGGAACACTTATTTACAATTCAAATGTACAGGGTAAACAAAAAAATATAAAGGTTTAATACCTGAATACAGTTTTAAATAAACATATCTAAGCAGTGTGAACACCATCAGTGAAAAGTGGTCAATATATAATTGATTTGATCACATTACAGTAAAACATTGTCTTGTGTCACTGTATGAAGCCTTGGGGATCAACTTAGGACACACTTCTGTTGTCACTAAACATATTTATCTTTTAGTCCTCTTAAAAGACGCTAGGTTCAAAGTAAAGATGAGATCAGATATTTTAAAGACAAACCAAATGCAGAATTTGCTTAAGTCGGTGATAAAGAAAGCATCACCACTTACTCCTAAGTGAGTGGTGGAGTTTGTATGTTCAGATAAGATCTCTTCTCAAAAGCTCCACCTGTTCCAAGGTCTTAACCATAACAAATGGAGGGCAGTGGGTGTCAAACAGGAACTTAAGGCCACACACACATGCATAAATACATACACACACACACACACAGACCTCTGGAGGAGCGGAAGTGTTTGCTGGGTGCAGTGAAGCCGCGGGTCCCGTGGACATTGACTGCAGCAACTCTGAACTGGTACCATCTGCTGGCTCTGATGTCGGCCAGTTGGACGCGCTCCTCTGCAGTCTGAGGGACAGATGGGGGGAGAGAAAACCACAGGGGTCAGGGTTCATGTGGGGTCACAGCCCCATGTGAGTTTGCTACCACATCAGTCATCTGTGTGTTTCTCTTTGCCAAACTTTCAAAGACACTGCGACTGTGAGGAATGTGCAACAGTGTGCAACAGTCTGTCAGCGCACTGCAGCACTTTCACAGCTGTAGCATGTGGCACGCTGGGACATGTCAAACTGACATTTCTTAGTGATATAAATCCCAAATGTGTGATCAAAAGAATCACTCCCATAACATCAATTGATGGGATCTTAAGCGGAAAACCTTTTCATCTCACTGACAGGCTTCAATATTTTGAACGTATGGTGTTCAGATCCCTACCTGTGCAATAGTCTGCCACTCGGTGGCATCGTCCTCGCTGGGGTGGATGCCATAATTCCAGCGGCGCTGCACCACATAGAGGACGGGCTCCACAGAAATGTTGAACTTGGAGGACCAGCGGATCTCCAGCTGACCTGACGGCTGCTCCAAAAACACCAGCTCTTTCCTCGGCTTGAGAGGAACTCCTAAAAGCACAAACGAGAGAGATGATAGCGTGACAGGAGTTAATATCACCTCCACTGAGAGTACATTTGTAGGTGAACTTCAACAAGAAGTGTGTTGTTTTCCCAGCAAAGATAAATGACACCATCATACTTGGACAGCTACATATTTTTAAAATGAGACATGATCTCACTGCAATAGATTTAATACAGGGTGCGGGTCAGCAGCATGATCTTTCTACTGTAACAGGTTGTGACATTTCCTGGCCACAGTGATGTGTTTAAGAAACTTCTTAGTAATGACACACACTATTGGATATAGGTATTTCAGAAGACAGGTTTAACGTCTGCCATTCCAGCAGACACAAGATACACCAGTGCAAACATACACACAGGCATGTAAAGTTCATTTGCATCATGGCACTTCAGCCTTTTACACAAAGCCTATGCGGTCACATGCAATAAATTAGAGATTTATTAAGTGCAGGACTGGCCCAAGTACTCAGCCAAGTCAGACGGAGTCTCTCAAGTAAATTTATTGCAGCGGAGACATAGTGAGTTGTTGATTGAGCATTGGGCACAGTGATAATGAGATGGAGATTGGAAAAGCAAGTTTGAAAATACAGGAGAATAATACATCCCGCAGTTCTCAATAAATCACCTAGCACTTCAGACCCTTACGCTGTGGCTCTGTCTCTGCAGAGTGGCCCACCACTGCTCTGCATTTATAAACAGCATCAACATGCGCTCAAGGCTACCGCGCGGCGTGTTGGTAAACAACATAATCAAGACTGTACGCAGAGCGCTCGGATCTACTTATATCACTATTCAGTCTTCATACAGGGCATGTAAATGTGATTGATTGGTGCGTATCAAATACTGGAAGATAGAGGAGGTCCTTGAGCCGCATGCATATGGAGTTAGTACTTTGTTTTGTCCCGCTGATAACAGCTCTCTGCTCACTAACAGCTGGGGGTCATTGTGCTGTGGTTTCACAGCTCCACAGTCAAGTGTGTGTGTGTCTGTGTGTGCGCCACAAAACGTGTCACATTTCCTGCGCAACACTGAACACCAATGTAACCACAGCATTCCTACTTCTCCCTCTGTCTTAGCTCATCTTCCCACAAAATCACACAAGAACTCCTGCAAAGCACAAACCAGACAAAAATACACATGCACACACATATAACCTCTCTCTTCCACAATAGGTGGGAGGGCAACAAATGTACTTTCTCTCTCCCTTTGCTCTTTCCAAAGATAACTTTTGGTCAGGTTTGGTCCAAGAATCATACACCGTTCATTTTTCAAGGGCTGCATGCTTCCTCCAAACCGTGATGTAACTGCCGCTGAAGCAAGAGTACAGCATCCATTCATGTCTTAATCATGCCGGCAATTACACTCCAGCAATATAATTCTCAATACTCACGCACATACTGTCATAATGACTGCTCCAATTACAGGGTTGAAGAAAAGACTACAAATGCTGCGCACGAGGACATAGCTCACATAAAGTGAGGATGGCAGATGGGGCGATGGACTCACTGACTTGCTGTGACAGTGTGGAGATAACTCTCTGTGCTGAATTCAATTTCTTTCTGAGATGTTCATTTTCCAATTTTTTTTTTTACTTTTACCACCCATCAAGCTTTCTTTGCCAGCTTCACAGAATAGTGTAAAACTATGTGCCGTTTCGACACACTTGGATTTCATCAGATAGGGTGCTATTCTTCGCGAGAAAAACATAAACATGAAAAAAAAGAGTTGTGTTAACAGAGGCACATCAAATACTTATTTGACTACATTACAACACACACACACACACACACACACACACACACACACACACACACACACCACACACCACACACACACACACACATCACACACACACACACACACACACACACACACACACACACACACACACACACACACACACACACACACACACACACACACACACACACACACACACACACACACACACACACACACACACACACACACACACATACACACACACACACACACACACACACACACACACACACACACACACACAACACACACACACTACACACACACACACACACACATCACACACACACAACACACACACACACACACACACACACACACACACACCACACACACACACACACACACACACACACACACACACACACACACACACACACACACACACACCACACACACACACACACACACACACACACACACACACACACACACACACACACACACACACACACACACACACACGAGAGAGTGATCTCGGTGGGGGAAACGCTTCATTTCTCCCCGCTTGCGTTTGCTAATGGCTTCCAGCATCACAGCTCATCATGGCTAAGACTACACACACACACACTTGTGCACACATAGAAACAATTACGCTCTTCAAAACATGAGCAACTAATTAGACCTTTAACACGGAGGACCCGGACAGGAATTCCATCTGGACTTTCACCAAAACGCTCAGTGTAATTCAGTGTAAATGCAGCGCTGACGGCGACCCATCATGAGCTCAGTGTTTGACTGAAAATCTGCGTGCAGGCTGCTTTATTTGAAGGTCTCGCAGTGTGATGAATGCTTTTCATTGTCCGGGTCACTGTATTGACATTTTCAAGGGTACGCCTGCTTTCATCTTTTCCCCGAATAACGTGCTGTTCACCTTTTAAACATAACATCCACCATGAATCCCTCGGGACTTTATCAAATTGAATATAAATACTAGCATGCTCTTCTGTGTGCATAAGCTCAAAATCGCATGATCTCGCCTCTCTCAACTTCACACAGTAAAACTTGCTTACACAGACTGCAGTGTGATTCAAAGCATACACAGTCGATTACAGCTCTGGTTCAAAGCTTGATTTAGACCCATCTTCCACTGCTCTTGCTTCAACATCTCCTCAACTTTGTTATGGCCTCAGGCTGCCAGCAATTGTGTGCTGAAAATGTATAAAATGTAGTTCCAGCTTCCATCTCCAAGTTCAGAGGCTCTTGGTTCGCTCACATAACAACTCAGCACCCTCAGAACATCAGGCCGCCTTGGGCAGCGCTATTAAACTGTTTCAGTAGAGCAAAGACTCTTGGGTACAGCTGTGTCTGTGAAACCCTCGAGCTTATCCAGCAAACCCAAGGCTGAATGGAATGAAGGATTTGTGGGTGAGGTGCAACACAAAGAGATGAAATAAAGAGTTATGATTCGAAACAAGTTGTCAAAAATTGTTCAAATTAATCAGCAATTTGCGTCATTGAGATTGGAAATTAATGTTTGGCAGAGAGGGATTAATTGGTTCAACACTGTTTGTGAAAATTATGCAAACTGCAACAGTTAATCACATTAAAAACATGACGATCACATTGGACCATAACCAGAGAAAAACATCATTTATTGAGAAGAATAAATAGAGGGGGAGGAAATATCCATTATTCAGCTGATGAACCGTATAAATCTGGTCCCTCCTGGAATCAGTAATGAACAATGATTAAATGAAGAGATGAGTTGCTGACTGCACGGACAATTAAGCAACTTTATTAGTGCACGCAGTCTAACGTTAAGTCATTGAGTGCATCCTAGTCTGTCAACTTGTCACACTCCCTTATTCTGCCGATACGAGTCTTGCATCATAATCTATTCCATTTTATTTAAAACTTGTAATTGCTTTTTGGCCACTTGGGGGAAGCAGAGTGAACACATTGACATATTTTGACCTTTTATGATAATATTTAAGTTGGTATTAACTTAAAAGATATATCAATGTTGAGTTGTATGCAAAACTTGTTATCAAACAGTTGCTTTTAACAGTAACAGAGCAACATTCAAATTCATAAATCACTCTCTTTTTAGCTTAAAAAAACGATTAATCAGCTGGTCGCTAAGGGGAGCTGCATTTCCAGGCGCTAATTATGTGTAGATTTGTCACCATGAGCGACCCCTCTAATGATCTCCATATTTCTATTTGTTAAATGAATATTATAATAAGAAGATTGATGATAGCCCAGGACTTGCATCCTAAGCACTATAACTTTAAAGAAAATTCAATTTATTGTAATGCAATGTGGAGTTTTGACCTTTAGAATTACCTTTGTAGAGGTTCTTCGGCAGCTGGCAGGTGTGACCACAGCCGTTGGAGCAGCACTTTTTCACGGCTGAACACTCTCCATCTTCCTCACAGCTCTCCACGCAGGCTGCTGCGAAACCGCTGGCCTTCTCGGGGGCAGGACAGTCACCTTGTTTCCCTCCCTCTACTGACTTTAGGAACTCACAGCTCGTCAGACACTCGTAGTGCTTCTTGGGAAAGAGCGGCTGAGGAGTGGGGGAGGGATGAGGAGGAGGAAAAGGAAAATATACGTCAGATTCCTTTTTAATTCCAACCTGGCTGTAAACAGGCAGCTGTGAACTAACAGGGATTGTCCTGTTTACTTTTCAGATAATGACTCACCGCAGCGGTGGGTACATTTACTTTGATTCACAGAATGTCATTACAGAGAGTTACTTCACACACCTCTCAAACTTTCCTCTTATTGAATTTTCCCACTAAGTATGAAAAGCTCAAACACTTGAGTCTGAGGCGACGACAGTAGTTGTGGTAGTGACATACCTCGCATAAATCCTGGCATTGATTTTCCTTCAGGTCCCAGGATTCCTTGCAGGGCTCCAGGCACTGTGAAAATGAGAGAATGGTGTCAGTCCTTCAAAGAGCCAGCCACATCAAAGAGCCAATGCTGCGGAGATGCTTTCTGTGCTTGAGCGCCTCACTCAGCCACTTCCCCTGCACGTACACAACAACCAATCACACCTCTTTTTGTTACAGAAGCCTGGCATACCTTCAAAGCGCATAAACAATCTTCAACAAAAGCAAGCATTAGGCAAAGGGGGGGGGGGGGGGGGGAGTCCATTATGAGACAGGCACACCCTAACTGTGTATAGAAATGTTCTGATGCTTGGATCTAGTGTACCCAAGCAGATTCTTTCTTAAATGCTATTAGCCTCCCATACTGTCTACGCCTCATTCTCTTCCCCCCACTTATCATGCCTGTGTCTGAGCCTTATACACTCTGGCACTGGTACCCAACTTTGTTTCTTTTACCACGCTGAACGGAGAGTGCTTAATAAATGGTACACTTGGTTTAATGTTCTTGGGATTCCCTTTTCAACACGTGGAACACATTTACTGAATGTTTGGCATAGGCATGGGATAAAAGCAAAACCTCAGCGAGAGTGCAGCTCAAAGTCATTTTGCCAAACATAATGGGATGATAAACTTTCAAATGAAAGTTTACCAATCTAGTCATACTTATTTTGCTTTAAATACTATGACCGACCCTGGATGAATCAACTTCAATAAAAGCAAGAGGAATGTCCAATAGAATCGGGCAGATGCTGCTGCAGGAAAGGGAATACGTTCAGACGGGACAGAGAGAAGCGAGGGTTTTATATGCTCCCGTTGCTCGCCACGGACAGCTGGTGTGAAAGAGAAGAGCAGGCTCAGTCAAACAGTCAAACCACTGCCAGGCTGCTTCTATGCTGCACTGGGAGCAGCCCAAACCACACCAACTAGAGAGCTGCCAAAGTCACTCATTCAACTCCATTTAATTTATACTCCTGCCCCCGCTACAGTAATAAGACAGGGCACAGCAGTGAGTTTTTCAACACATTCACCTCCATTCTTCATGTGTACAGTATGTTGGTAAATGGGAGATGGAGATATTGTACAGTAGATATGGAGATCTGCCATCAGCGGATGTACACTTTTAGCCCAGTCTCCCTAAAAAGACAGTAAGTACTGTTATGTAAGGTACTGTACAGAGCAGTGGTTAAATGAGGGCACCTACTGTAGAAAGTGTATTTTAAGTTGATGTAAGAAATTCACATTGCAGTCAGGGGGCACAGTTTTATTTATGACTCTTTAATTCACTCATTAGCCAACTCTGTCATTATTATGCCATTGCCAGTGCAAAGTTTATTTGCTTTTTATGGAGTGCGGTGGACAAGCGCATGATGAAACATAAACCTTGCTTCTGGAGGAACATGGTGCAATCAGGGAACACGCACACGTCTGCCAGCGCTCAATTACACTCACCCAAACGAGAAGCCCTGTGTGGACGGTTTGTTAAGTGTTGAGCAGCCAGCTCCAGAGGGCGGAGGAGGCAGGGAGGGAAGGTATTTTCTTAATGACTTTATATAGCAATAAAGACATCCCCGTAATGATGATATAAAGCCTATAGTACTGCCAGAAAGATTATTGAACATCTTGGAGAGAGAGAGCGCATAGAGGAGCTCCAAAAGAAACTAATGTGGTTCCTACAGAGCTGATCGGGTGAAACCACTGCAACACCTCAGAGATTTAAGATGACTTACGAGCTTGAGTGCACTGTCCAAGTTATGTCTCACTGTCCAGAGAGTCTATCGATGCAGTTTTATCATCATCTGCTATTAATATTATGGTGACCTTATATCATTAATTCTGTTTTCAATTGTGTCCTCTGAGGGTAGAGGCGAAGACGCGCAGTAGCAGCAGCCTCAGCATCCCAGCCTCACACAGGCACCAGGAACAATGAGGTGTTGAGGCCATAACTGCGTGCCGCACCAGTGTCTAAAGGACATTCTGCCAGTAGACGCACATGTTAAAGCCCCCAAATCCCTCCTACAAATCACTGAACATACACTCATAAGCCAGGGGATCAAGCTCATTTTACTCATTGAAAGATCTTGTGTGCACGGACTGAATGCATTCCATGGGCTTTTCATGTGGATGAATCTTTTTCTGGTTCACCACAATCACAACTATACAAGTGAAAATAGAATCATCGTTACTTCGAGATGCTCGGGCTTGCGTGCCAAGAAGCATGAATTAACAGCACATTGCGTACCAAGGATTTTGCAACACTTATCAGAAAGCTGGCTGTGTGTTTAGTGTTATATCTCACCCTAAGAGTTCCAGTTTTTTCCTTTTAACTCTTTGAGGGAATAGTAAATGCTGAATTCTGAGAGAAAGTTATATACAAAGAAAATGATACTATTATGGCAGGACAGTTATTTTTGCTGAATGAGTGGATGAATCGGAAATGGTACTCTTATAAAAAGATAAGCATTTGTGTCGAGGCACTGAGAGCTCCTTGCAGGTGTGCTGAAAACTGACAATCTGTCAGCAATCCTACCCAGCCACACCCACAACCTGACATTTAAGGAGGGAAGAGGAGGGCCGACGACAGATGTCTTGCCAAAGCAAATAGGACGGCTGTATATAATTACAAAGGTGCTCTCATCAATCAAATGCCTGAATCCTATTTACACAGTTTGGTGCTCCATCTCAAACCATAGAACTGATGCCGCCAAAAGCATGCTTGGGAGAGTGCCATCAAAGATTTTGTGCAATTTTTTTTGATGGGGGGAACTACCTTCACCTGATCACATACAAATACACACCCTTTTAGCACTGAAAACTTCACTCCTGTTTTTACATGTTGAAATTGAAAATAGCAATACCGCTAAATTGCAACAAACCAATATGTTTTATCACTTCCAAACCTAATTTAAAGCTTTATGTATGTATGAATGGCACATGAAACTGACACTTTTCTATTAATGAGATCTCATATCTGTGGTCCAGCAGTCAGTAATACTGAGTCTAGAAGCTTGGAGCCTTTCAAACATCTACACCAGGGGTGTCAAACTCAAATACACAGTGGGCCAAAATAAAACAATGGGTACTAGTCGAGGGCCGGACTGGTTCAATGTTTATTGCAAAACTTATTGAAATGAACTTATTGCACATATTAAACCTAGAACTAACAAAGCTTAAATTATTGCCTATAAAAACAACATTAAACATTAAATAATCAGTTGCATTCATTTCTTATGGCTCTATCTGCAGATTTTCCGGAGTAATTTCTTACGATTACATTTTTCCACAGGCCAACAACAGCTTTAAAAAAACAATTTCCCTCAAAGAAAAAACCAAACATGCCCTGTTGTCACAAGAAAAAAAGTGCAGAAGGAAACTTTGAAACTCAGTTTGCTGCTCTGTGATGCTAGTTCAAGCCAGATACTTGGCATCTCATCTTGGATGCAAGTTCATCAATGTTTGGGGTCAGGCTCTGAGCGGAGGAAATCCTCAGGTTTGAGTGAAGGTGAGCGTGCAATATACCGGCGGGCCAGATTTAATAGTAATTAGAAATTATCCTGCGGGCCGAAATTAAATCCACCAAGGGCCCCCGGGTCTTGAGTTTGACACATGTGATCTACACAGATACCCCATTGATAGCTATGCTAGTGTTTGACTTCTGAGATCTAATCTTGAAAAACACTCCATGGAGTTGGAGTAGGAGACATAATTGAGCTGGACAAAGTGTATCTGCTGGGTATGGATGCCAACGTCTGGGTCTCCCTGAAGCAAATCTCTCCAGCTGGCAACACAGCTACCATCTGTTTGAGTAGCGTAAGGAATGCATGTAATCATCCAATGTGATGTTAACATATTTCTGGACAAATTTCACCTAAAAAGACACAAATTTACTCTGGGATGTAAACAAGGGCATGGGCTTGTTTCTATGGACTTGCGCTGTTAGTCCTAACAAAAGCATTTGAGCGGCTGATTTCCCCTTTGTCCTCTTATATTCCCATCCAACAGTGACACATTCTGCATGGTTAAGTAGGAACATCCATAGCGCTCTTTCACTCCCCATTTCACGCTGTAATAAAACGCAGCAGTTGTTACTCTGGGGGACCCTGAAAGGCATTCTGTGGGGCCGATGAGAGAGTCAGGCTGAATGGCAGCCAATGCCACAGCCCATCTTCACTTTGTCATGGCTGGGACGAGGCGGAGGGGAGGTGGAGGGAGTGAAAGGGGGGGTAATGGGGGAGGAGAGGGAAGTGAGAAAGATTGGGGGGGTCGGTTCTTGTGCATAGAAGTGCCTTTCTTCGTCATTGGAGCATGGTTATCTCCACCCATCATAAAAATGCGTACAGCCTTAAGTGAGTGACTGAAATAACATAAACTATGAAAAAGTGCATATGGAAAATGTCACGCAAGTGTTTTGTTTTAGTTAATGAAGCATGAACTGCCAACAGTCGAGATTGCCCCCGGCTTAACAATACACAGTGTATACAAAACAAATATGGGTAATAATTCATACTGATGGAGATGACATTTAGCAATTTCGCCAGAGCATATTTGTACACTCATAGGGCGATGAGTGAGAGAGCTATGACTGTGCCTATTTTGTAAATAAGACATAGCACACGCTAAACCACGCACCAGTACATGTGGGTTCCTGTGCGTTCCCTGAATCTAAAATATGGACTTCCCTTATCTCTGTGTGTTACCGAGCTAAACTTAATGTTTCCAGCACTGGTGGTCGGTGTGAAGCTCGAATGGTGTAAACAGATATTTACAAGGTGCCTTTGCAGCCCCTCGGGACGGAGCAGCTGTCTTCTTCTCTGGGAGACTCAGATATGGAGGAATCTCTGTTGTTGATCACACACATTGTAAATCTCACCTCCAATCTCATTGAGTTATGGCTATTTTCTGCTGCCCCGGCGCTTTTCACACTCCCAGGGACCAGACTCAATTATTCCAGCAGCCCTCAGCCCTCTGCTCATATCTATCGACCCGTCCAGAAGCGAATCGTCTGGGTTCTGCTCTCCCCTCTATTGAAACAG